ACTGTACTTCGTATGATTCCAATCCTTGAAAATTTTATGAAATTTGCTTAATAGCCCAGCAACTACAAATGTTTTTTAAATATGTTGTTTGCAAGAACATACACTATGCAATGTGTACTTTTCTATCAATATCCATATGTTAAGTTTCACGATTTTATTATTCCAATTTCTATACATCTTCTGTGTACTTGTTTTTCTGGTTACTGAGATAGGAATGTTAATTTTATATTATGATTCATGGTTTTGTTTGTTTCTCATTGAAGTTTTGTCAAGTTCTGTTTCATATACTTTCAGCCTATCCTCCAAGGTGAATTACACTGAAATGCTCTTCTACAAGAAAAAAAACTGTACAAAACCCAGATTACTCTGCGGCTACTAAAATGGCCTGGAAGCAATGATACCCTTATAATGATGAACACTCTTAGTGCCCAGATCTGGCTTTTCAAGTACCACTTTCCACTAAAAGAAGTTAGAACTCTTTAGACAAATGGAAGATTACAGATCTAGACAAGGAGAATACAAGGTGAGAAAAGAGCATCTTGCCTGTCAGAAATCAAGAAAGTGCTCAGAGAAGGGGCACAGGAGTCAGTCTGAAGGTGTTCACTAGCCAAAGTGGGACAATGCAAATAAGCATCTGAAAGAATAGCATATGTAAATGACAGAAGACACTGAGAAAAATCCACGAGCCAAATGATATTTGAAAATAAATTTTAAAAAAGTATAATGTGCCATCAACAGAGATGACAACACCATCTTCTTTCTCTGAAAATTATTAACTAAATGTAAAGAATAAAGAATTTCCTCTGGATTTTTAGCAAGAATTTTATTTCAGGTCATCCTAAATTGATAAGGGAAAAAAAATCTCTTATTTCAGAAGAATGCCAGCTAATTAATGAAGAATAATCTCTCTTTTGCAACTGAAAATAAAATAACTGATTCAGGCAAGCATCAACAATAGATCCTAGGTAAGCACTAGGTAAAAGGTTGTGGGTGACAGGATATTCACACAGCATCAAAATATTCCTTGGCAGATTAGTTCCTATTTGAAAAAGGAAGAAACACATTTACAAAGTAGAGATTTGGCTATCACCACATTCTTCTTTAAATGTATAGTGAGACGACCTGACAGTTATGTGCTTCAACAACAAGGTCACAAGAAGAGGCTCAATACATGCATATGAATACAGCATCACCCATGAAACCTTCTTGCCAGAACATTTTCAAGTTGAAACGAATTAAGCTGTAGATGTAACTTCTAGTATAGAGGATATATAAGGGCCAGAAGAACAAGTTAAAAGGAAATAATCAGTGAAATTCAGAATGTGGGATTTTTCTACAAATTTAGTAGCTTTGATCTTTTTAAAAAGTCAATGAAAAAAATGTGAATGGGACTATTCTACCACAAAAACAGCTACTGAAATGTAAAATAAAATGCACTGTGGGAAACTTGTTTGGTCCTTGGTCTGAAAAAAGAAAAGATATCCTTGTGGGAACAACTGGGAAAAATTTATTACAACTTAGTACTAACAATGTGATAATGGTATTAAAGTTGTGCAGAAGGATATCTTTACTTTGGGAAACGTAAGCTGAAGTATTAAGGGAGGATATATGTTGATTTCTACAAGTTAGTTTTAAATAATATAGGCCATTCCTGCCTCTACCCTCTAACAGATAATTATATAAAACAAATATGGCAAGATAAGAACAATTATGGAGTCTAGGTATTAGGTATGTAAGTACTCTTTATATTAGTCTTTTGAATTTTGTGTAGCAATGAATAGTAAACATGGCCTCCAAAAAACAGACCCAGGGAGCTACAGTGGGAGGCTCAAGTAAGACACAGGTAGAAATTAAAAACAATCTGGCCAAAATGAAATAAAAATCACAGAGATTCAAAATGTGATAATGGAAAGAATAAAAACAAGAACTGATGGAACAGAAATTTCAATTAATGAACCGGATCAGGAGTGAGCAAGTTCACAGCCTGGGGGCAAAATCCCACCTGGGGCCTGTTTCCACATGGTCCTCCAGGGAGCAAATGTTACATAAAATGGCAGAGAAGCCCGAAGTTTCACAGAGAGAATTAGAGAAAGAGACAAGAAAAGCTGTTCTGGGATCACATGCATCCCTGAGTGCGACTGCAATCTGCTACACTGGCCCCACGCAGGACAATCAGAATGAGGCATGGGGCAGACTTGAAAGCATTCCCCGAATAAACTCTGCTGAATAAAAAGCTCCTCTGACACAGAGGTGACTCCTGGGAAGTCAGGCTTAAAAAAAAATATTAAACTCAACCCAGGCAGTGTGGAAGACTGTGCACATGCCAAAGGTTCAATCTTCTCAGGAGAAATTAAAAAGAGAAATTCCAAGATACTATTCTATGGGTGAATGTGGGGAAAATCAGAAAACCACCTAACTATGACAGTCATCTCTGAGTCAAATGCACCTGCAACATTAAAGGGTGAAAATCTGTCTACTGGACTTAAGCACAACCTGTGACCAACAAGTGGCTTTTGCTGACCCAGAGGCAGTTCCTAGGAAACCAAGATAAAAAATAAAAACAGGGGGAAGAATCTGAGCAGGAACATCAGAGATATACAATGAGAGGGAAACAGACTTTATAGAATTAGTCACATCACTAAACAAATAAATGATCAAACAACAAGAAGTAGCCCTGGGGGTTAGGGGAGGGGAGTTGTCAGTATCCAAATGTGCTACAGTGTGTTATCTAGAATGCTTGGTTTTCAATAAAAAAAGAATTATGAGACATGAAACAGGAGCAGGAGAGTGTGATTCATACAAGGGGGAAAAAGGGAGGGATTAGAAACTGTCTTTGAAGGGCCTTAGATGTTGGACTTAATACATATAAAGATGTTCAAAGAACTAAAGGAAACTGTGTCTAAAGGAAGGCATGATAATAATATTATATATGCAATAGTAACAGAAATAGAAATTATTAAAAAAGAACCAAACGGAAATTCTGGAGTTGAAAAGTATAACACCTGAAATGAAAAATTCACCAGAGGGGTTCAACAGATTTGAGTTGGCAGAAAAAGAATCAGCAAATTTAAAGATAAATAGAGAGGTTATACAATCTGAAAAACAGAATGTAAAAAGAATGAACAAAAATGAACAGGTGCTCAGAGAAGTGTGGGACACCATTAAACATACCAACATATGCATAAAAGGAGAGCCAATAAACATTGTAACTACTGGGGAAATGCAGCTTGTGAGCCTCTCAAAGAACATGCTCCCAGAAAGTGTTGAGAAGAAAGAGAAGGCAGAAGTGACTGTGGCTCCATGGATCCCAAATAGCCTTTTTGAAATGAGCTGGTCTGCAGAGCACTGAGAAAAGCGACAATATATTCTGAGATTGTCTAATATATATGAAAATTCTCCTGGAAGACGTTATCATGTTTCATTTAAGATGTATTATTTTTAATGTGGTAGTGAGCCCTCAGGATAGCCCCCAGTGATTCCCACTGCTTGGTACTCAAGCCTTTTTGTATAGTTCCTCTTCATACTGAATAGAAGTCATCTGTGGACAACAGAATATTGTAAAAGTAGCGTGTGACTTCTGAGGCTAGACCATAGAAGACATTGTGGCTTCTGTCTCTATGTCTTTATCACTCATTCTGGGGAAAGCCAGATGCATGCTGCGAGGACACTTCAGCAACATTAGAGAGAGGTCTATGTGCCAATGGAATGAAGCATTCTGTTAACATTCAGGGAAAAACTGAGGCCTCCTGCCAACAGCTATGCAAGTGAGCCCTCCTGGAAGCTGATCCTCCAGCTCCAGTCAAGCCTCCAGATGACTGCAGCCAAAGTCCTGACTGCATCCTCGTGAGACATTCCAAGCCACAACCACTCAGCAAAGTCACTGCTGAATCCTAAAATCCCAGAAACTGTGAGAAAATAAAGGTTCACTGTTTTAAGTCACTACATTAGGGAGTAATTTGTTCTTTAGCAATAAATTTACACTTTACATTTTATAAGAAATTCTTGTCTATGTTTCTTAGGTGTTTTTATCTAGGTAGACTTATATGTTCCCTTAGAAATATTACAAGGTTATAAAAGAGTACTTTTAAATAAATATATAAAAGTATCCAACTAAAGTATATTTGTAATTATCTAATAACAAGAAAATCAAAGTTGATTTAAGGCTTAAAATACTCTTCAGTAAGAAATAATTATTTAATTTTTCTTAAATGATCAGAGAAAGTGCTGCCTAATGTGATGAAAAATTGCTAGTACGAACTGTTGTTAGCAAAAAGTAGATCTGGGGTCATTGAGATTAGTGGTGGGATTCAGAACAATTCTCTGTTTTAACGGCCTGTTTATAACCACGAATCTTAGTCAGTTCAGGCTGCCATTACAAAATACCATAGACTGAGTAGCTCATAAACAACAGAAACTTATTTCTCCCAGGTCTGGGGGCTGGTAGTTCAAGGTCAGGGTGCCTGCATGGTCAGGGTCTGGTGAGGACCCTCTTCTGGGCTGCGGACTTGATTTCTCCTTGTACCCTCATCCGACAGAAAGAGAGTGGCTCTCTGATCTCTTCTTGTAAGAGCACTAGTCCCATTTAGGAGGACTCTACCCTTATATCTAATTACCTCCTAACAGCCTCACCTCCAAATACCCCCACACTGAGGATTAGATTTGAACATATAATGTTTTTGGAGGGGGGGACACAAGCATTCAGCACACACACACTTTTAGACAGGTATGTGTGTCCAGCAGCAAGGGCTAGCGGAACACATGCAGGCCACGAGTCACAGAGGACACGTAGGTCTTTCTTTTCCTGGGCAAAGCTACCTGTTTTACCTGGAGAATGAATCTGAATTCCTGTTTTAGTCTCCTTAGCACCATGTTCTAACCAAGTTAAGGTGCTGAAAATGTTAACATGGAGGGAAATTAAAATTTACTGCATGTTCTTCATATTCCTTTTTCAAAATTACAACAAATTAAAATTTTTGTAGTAAGAATATTGAAATACTCACCATGTGCTTTAATGCCTTAAAAAGGAGTTTTCTACCAGATGGTTTGTCAAAATCAGCAATAATCCAGAAAGTAACTGGAGAAAGTCTATCATCTGAAAGTTTCAAATAGTTTAGTCAAACAAATTCTTTTTAACATCAAACTAAAGGCAAGGATATTTCCAGTTAACACAATACATAATATAATTGTTAAAATTAATCTTTCTGAAAATAGGCAAATATTGGTAAAAATCACACACACACATTTTATACATATAAAGATGTTAGACAGGTAATTCATTATAAAAGCCTTACATAAACTCAGATACCAAAGAGAGAGAACAGTCCCCAAGGAACACACCCATGGGGTATGTCAGCCAGTACAGAAGACTGTATTATGCTTATCAGGTTCCAGTGTTGGCAAGCAAAACTGCCTTCCAGTTACACTTGTAAAGAAAAAAGATATTTATACCTTACATATATGTAAAATTAGACATAATAAATTATTAGTAGATATTGAAAACAATATTTTATTAGCTTACAATTCATTTACTTCAAAAATTCTATTATTAACTTGCTCTAGTTCACATCATCTTCTGCCATCAACGTCAATGTAATCCTTTTTTCAGAAACATCTGAAAATTTGGAAGCCACGATTTTAAAGAAGAAACAATTTTAAATTCTGAGGTCACAGTTGAATGGGTTTACTTTCATCCAGCCTCAGCATATAAGACCTAAAATAATACTTGTCTGGCCATCATTATAACCTATAGAAGAATTAGTCCTTTAGATCACATGACCTACTTAAAACAATTGTAAAAACTTGCTATACCAAA